TGTTGTATTTTAAATTTACAAAATAAAAGAATTTTAGCAATGAAAATTATTTGCGATGGAATTTCCATGGCAAATTTGTCACTATTTGGTGAGAGAATTTTTGTGAGATATCCATCTCTAATTAACAATGAATTAGTGACAGAAATTTTTCATCGCTAATCTGTCACTAATTGGTGATAGAATTTTGAATTCTGTCACTAAATAATTCGTAATGATGGAATTAGCGACGGAAAAGACTATGTGCTAATTCCGTCACTAACTGAAGTTCGTTATAATCTATTGTTAATCGGTCGCTAATTTTGATTAGTTATGGAAATTCCATCACTAATTTATTGTTTTTGTAGTGAATAAGAAATAGTTAATTTATTTGATGGAGGAGCATGGTTTGATCAAGATTAAGCTTCAAAGGAAGGTTAAGGAGCCCAAATGCATGGAAAGAAGTCTAACATTCCAAAAAATCTATTAGAAGGCATTGGAGGCCCAATGATAAGAGGAAGGACCAAATCTATAAAGAAGGCCCTGAATTGTCTAATAAGAGAGCCTTTTGATTTGGAGCTCATTTATTTGGAGGAAGCACATTTTAGTGAACCAAAAGAGTCTAAGAATGGTGATCACATTGGTAGAAGCCCAACAAGATGATGTACAAGGCCCATGTGAAGTTCAGATTGAAGAATTTAATTAAAATACCATGTGACAAGTATGTGCCTTGGATAAGGATCATAAGTAACATCTAAGAACATTCAAGAAGGATCAAGAAGACATCATTATAAATTAATTATGATTTAAATTCATTTTTAGGAAGTTTTCTTTTCTTTATTTGCTTTGAATAATGCCTTTTGGTTAATGATTGTTCTAGAAGATCATGTTCTAATTTAGTCTCCTATTTTCAAATAATAGACTTGTTCTTGAAGTTTAAGTTATCTCTTTTTATCTCTATGTAATAAATGGTGCTACCCATAGTCAAATAATCATTAATAAGACATCATCCCTAGTATTTATGTCTTAAGATGCTGATTCTAGAGTATTATATGGTTGCCTATGTATAGGCTATATTTTTGTAATTGAATTTTAGACTTAGATGAATGAGAATTGAGTTTATTTCTCTCTGTGTGAGCTTTGCTTGTATCCTCTTATTTTTATGAGAATACTCGACAATATCAAGGAATTGATCAACCTTATGATGTCTTCATGACTAGGGTTGTAAGAGATAAGTTCTCTTAAAATTCTGCCTAGATCAAATGTCAGTTTGTTAGTTGATTCTAGCTGATCTGTACGTCCTCTCATATCTTATTGCATTTAAAAAACTTTATAACTTTTCTTGAATGAGAGTATATTTTTTAAATTAGCATTCATATATAAAATCAATTTGTTCATTGATATTATTTAATAAATTTCAAGTGTCAATAGTATATTAAATTCCTACATATTAATAAATTCTGAAGAAATTCTAACACCACACTTTCTAAGAAAAAAATCTGCTGTCACATTAAAAACCATTTTTTTAAATGACTGACAACTATCGAAATTTGAGTGAAATGCCATCAAATGTGTGTGTGTAAAGTTGCAGGGGTATGTTCATTGAATGCAATCTCCCCAAATGAAAGCTCCTTCAACCAGAGCATTAATTGCATAGAATAGTCCAGAGAAGATTAAAAAAAAAAATTTGTGTGAACGAAATTACTAAACAAACAATATAAAATTGGAAAAAAATGGAGTTTCATTACTCACTAGTTATATACTTTCAAGCGATTAATGCGATCTAAAACTAATCCAAGATGGGATGATTTGTATAAACCACAGAGAAAAAGGGGATTGAATGATGTGTGTAAATAAATATGGCTAATAAAATTTGATAACGACCATCTTGATTTGTGTATGAGCGATCATCAATCTATCATTTAAGTCAAGGCTTTTTGGCCCCCAAATTAAAAAAAAAAAAAAAGTCAAGGCTATGAATTGATAGAGTGAGTGTGGAAGAATGCGAATGGAGAGGGCACTATTTCGTGCAACTAGTGGCAACGAAAAAATGCACGATGTTATTATGCGTCTTGAATGGTCTAGAGAAAATTGACATCATCGGATCAAGGCTCATGATAGGGTGAAGAAAATAGGAGGACAAAAAAAAAATCAGCAGAGTAATTGAGGCTCAGCTTAAAGCTCTATTCAATGTATTTGCTTGATACATATAGTAAAAATAAAGGATAAAACCTAAAGATAATATCTAATATCTTGAAATTGAAATTTAAATCAGGATAAAAATAGATCCTATTTGATATAATTCATTCTAATTTAAATAATACATGAAACACTGAATAATAATCTAATTAATTGGGCTCTTTTAAGTAGGCTTAAACGTTCATCTTTCAACAACGAGAAAGACATGAGGGAGGGAGAGAGTGGTGGAGGAGCAAACCTTTTTTTGAATAAAAAAAAACCTTTTGCATCAACCAATTTTGAGGATTCAAAAAATTATGTTGGACTTTGATTTGAGTCAAAATGAAAATGATTAACCCTAATCCCTCATAGTATAGTAGATCAAGATTCAAATCCATACTAGAAAAGATACTTGACATCAGTACTTAGAATTAGATTCTCTTCAGTAAAAAAGATACTTGTGTTTTAGTCAAAAAAAAAAAAAAAACTAGGCCAAGTAAAAAAAGAGCATACGCAACAATAGCTACCCATTGTCAGTTGAAGATGTTCCAAGACTTTTTGATGCGCAACTGGAAGGCTACCTATACGCATACGTAGTTAGAGGAGCCAATAAATGCCGATCCATGAAAGCCAAGTCAAACATTATGAATGAGCCTCCTAACAATTGCACAAGCTAGCCTGCGTCTTTTCAATATATTGGGAAAATTAGCATGGGGCCATTAAAAAATGTAATTACCAAACGTTTTCATAACAAGTGAATAACGAGTTCTATTGTAAAAAATGATAATAAGATGTTATTCGCTCGTCACTAAATTTTTTTTAATTATAATCTTTTCTTAGAATTCCATTAATGCCACTTATGATTGATCGTCTTGTTCATAATAATCAGCTTCTTCTTTGACCTTAACGTCTTTTGTTTGTAATTTTTTTTAATAAATAGAACAAGTATGAGATGAAGCCTGTCAAAGGAAAGAGGCATATATAAGTATTAGATTCAATTCTCAAAGGAAATGTCATCATTTGTGATTTTCTATATTTTAAATTTATTTTTAATTAGAAATTTGTAATGCATCTAAAAGTTCCAATAAATTCTGTCAAAAATTAGTTTCCCTATCTGATAATTTATGTGTGTCTGTCTATATATATAATATGATATAATTGTAGTAAACAACACATTAAAGTCGATGAACTATCATCAGATCAAAAAAAAGGTAGATGAATTCATCCTAGCAAACAACCTATAAACAAATAATAAAAATATAAAAATAAAACAAATTTACCTTCACCTTCACCTTTTATTTCGGTGTGTGATTTCCGGTGAGGAAAAGGTCGAAGACAAAGAGTGTGGTGTTTTTTCTAATTATTCCAAATGAAAAGAAATATAGGACCATAAACTTTCGAATGAAAAATCTTTTGGAAAATTGCCATTAGTTTCCGCCCAAGGAAATTAAATACAAAAAGATCCTTGAAATCATAAAATTATTTGAAGTCCCAATGGACTTTTTTGCAATAAATTTTATTTGTTTAATTATTAAATTACCCTTCTTCTTCTTTTTTTTTTAAGTTTGTATTGACAACTGGAAGAGCAGTGGTTGACAACTCAGGGTGCAAAGATTAACAACTCTAATTATTTAGGGTGTGATATGCTGAGAAGATGTGTTGTCAATCTTTGCACCCTGAGTTGTTAACCACTACTCTTTCAGTTGTCAATGCAAATTTTAAAAAAAGAAAAATGGTAATTTGATAATTAAATAAATAAAATTTATTGCAAAAAAGTCTCTTGGGACTTCAGAATAATTTTATGATTTCAAAAAATATTTTTGTATTTAATTCTCTTATGTGGGACCTAATTACAATTCTCCCAAAATCTTTTGCCAATTTGCTCTGGTTTGAATGTAACAAACGGAAACTACTTCAGAAGAGCATTATTGGCTAGGAATACTCAAAAGAGGATGTGTTATAAAATAAAGACCAATTATTGAAATTCAATGATTGTTTATATTTTTAATATAAAATTCAATTACTTATTGTTTATTTAATATCAAGATATACTATGATAATGAAATCTATCTTTCTTTTTTTCAAAGTTTTATTGGAGCTCATGAAAGAGATGGTAGAAAGATATTTTTAACCAATTTTCTCAATTTCCTTTTCAATCTAGAAAAGTTTAGGGCCTCTATATAACTTACACTAGTTCATTAAAATATTTTTTTTTACATGCAAGATGCATTTCTTTGGATTAAATTTAAATATATATTTTAAATATTCATACCTTTTAGAAAAACGATAAAATTGTTAAAAAAATCTATCTCACAAAATTTGTTACCCAACAAATATTTAAAGACTCGAGCCGTTAAAGTGAAAACTAATTGTTTTTGGTAGATGCAATTTTTTGTGCAATATGTCTTTGTGTGTAAATTTTTTTTGATATTATTAAAATTAAGTTAGATATAACTGAAAAAGAATTAGGATAAACAAATGAATTGAAATTTTATATTTGAAATTAAATTAAATATTAAACTAATTTTTAAATTAAATTAAGAATCAGAAAATTCAAAGATAAGAGGAACAAGAGAGTTAAAAAAATTCAAAAAGTCAAAGTTGTTGTGTAGCGGAAGACGATGGCAAAAGTGGAAGACGCTCAATAAAGTTTGTAACCCAAAACCAAAAGAAAAGGAAGAACAAGAAAAAGCGGAAGAAGATAAGGCCCCACGTCATGTGGCCCCCACGAATGTTTTTGCACGCGCTTCAATGACGTGTTGCCCTGTCATAGCCCAACCAAATCGTTTCCCAGTATTTATCTCAAAATTTTCTCGTCTTCCTAACGTCACGCAAGAAAATACACAAGGGACGCAATCGAGTTTTCGGATGGCTACGCCTGCGCGTTTCTCACTCTCTCTCAAGTCTCAATCTGAATTCCTGAGAAGCAAACAAGCCTCGCCTCGCCCTATAGCAGCCTCCCACATGTAATCGAAACATATAACAATTAAAATAACCTCCCAATCAAATCAAATACCGCTGTGGATAAAGTTTCTGCCCTTCTGGGTATATCCCTTTGCCTCGTTCCTCGCAATTCCAATTTCTTGAATCGTTGCCCTCCCTTTTTCTTCGATTGCTCATCGTATTTTCATCTCGTTTGGTGATTTTTCTCGAGCAAACATGATGAGGGGACAACAAGATCAGCAATCTCGGATGTTCTACGAGCTGTCCACTCTGGTTCTCAATATTCTTCGATCTTCTCCGGTTCCAATCTCTTTGCCCGATCATCCTTCAGCCTTGCCGCCGTCGAGGCCATCGCCTTCCTTGAGCCAGATCACACCTGCCGGATTTGCCTCCTTGCTTTTGGGAATTTCGTTGTCTTTGATGCTCTGTGGATCGGTTACTTTCTTTCTTGGGTTCTTCCTGATGCCCTGGGTTTTTGGATTGGTCATGGTGTTGTATGTGGTTGGAATTGTCTCCACCCTCAGGATGTTGGGGCGTTCAATTCTTTGTTATGCTACGTCCCCGGCAGAGCCACGCAAGGAGATTCCTGGTAAATAAATCATTTAGTAGAAACTATATATTTGTCTAGACGTTTTCTATTTGTTTTTTTGGGAATTTTCTGTATTTTTCGAGCCTTTGAGAATCAGTTTAGTTGGAAAATTTTACATGTTTCCATCGAACTACTATTATTATTGTGGTTAATATTTCTCAGTTCGAGGTTTTCATTTCGAATTGACTCGTCTTGGAGGGATTCAATTTACGGCCTCGCGGGTATTTTGGGTAGTCTTTTCCTTATTTGTATATTTCCAAAAAAGTCCAGATGGAACTGATATATCTAAAAACAATCAGGCTCTGTTTCTGAAATCTCAATTGCGTTCTTCGGTTCCATCGTTCTGCCATTACTTTATTTTGTTGGCAAGTAGCTGTATTTGGCTAGGGGTAGAGCAATGAGCATGCAGTAATTTTCTTTTGTTCATCACCTTCTGGTTTCCTTGATCTTAATTACAGTCAGAGAACTTTCGTTGGACAACATTTGCAGATAATATCTTGTTCATCTGCTTTTACGAAGTAGCGATGTGAGGGTTCTTGGAGCGGAAATTTGACCCTTCAGTCCCCCGGGGGGGGGGGGTTTGCGAAATAGGGAATAAACGAAAATAAAACAAGACATCAAAAACAAAATCCATTGACATTCTTGGAAAAAACGAACCAAGCTATGTGATCATTTAGGAGTTTCCTAACTTGGTACGCCAGGAGATCGACCCACTGATTGTCCTTGCGATACACGTTCCCTACTCTCTCACCTTCCACTTTCTTTTTAGCTACTCCTTAATCCTTAATGTCCTGTGTCAATCTGGAGTTCCCACCATGTTGATCTCTCTTCTCTTATCAGACTCTTATCTTGGAAGTAGCTGTACAACAAGTCCACTATCAACTTCGAGGATTGGGACCCTTTAGTTCAAGCCAGTTGGAGCCTATCTAAAATGTGCCTCTCAGCTTGTATAACACTGCAATGGCCTATTTCTATAAAGACCCCACAAGCCATAATCCCCTTGTGTCACGTATCACTCCTTCTGCAGAAGCTTGAAAATTGATTTGTTTGAAAGGTTCCTCTGTGTTTAGTCCAGTCATCATCAGGCATATGTCCACAACCAACCCTTCCCTTGTACGCATCACAGTCTCTAGCACCTCCATCCACTTATCGCTAGCTCGCTAGATATCCCTATCTAGACATGTGGTTTGTTTATCGTTGTTATTTAAGTGTCTGGAGGCAAGTCTGGGATTGTGGCCACTATGGGTCTCCTGAACATCTGTCACGACATTTTGATCCCCATATTATTGAAACAGAGCCAGATTCAGTGTATTGTAATACTTGTGCCAAAATGGAGCAACTTACTGAAAAGAGATAACAAAGTACTATTTGTATAGCTCTTTCTCAATTGCGGCTTGGCTTAGACTTGATTCAAATCAATATTCTATTGTTAATTTTAGTTGTCACCCCTGTTTTGAGATCTTCCCTTTTGCCTTCATGCTTGAAATGGCACTTTATAACTGCATTACTAATGCTCATTAGCTTCCCTTTCTCTTTCTACACACATATATGAAGAGACATACACGCACACGAACACAAATCTGATATATTCTGCGGATTATGTTCGCTACAAGTTCATTCCGAAGAATTGATGTTGCAGCGTGGAAGCTGTTGTAGAAGGGTTTGAAGCTGTACGAATTGTGTTTGGTGCTTCCCCATGCAACCTATGGGAGGATTGAGGATGGAGATTGCCGGGTTTCTTCAGCATTACAGCAGGGAATCATGGATTATTTGGAGTTTTTACTGAAACTTGTTGAAATCACTACTCGTTTAATTAGAGAAAATAGCGGGATCTGAATCACTGCTCAAGATGCGAGGTGGTTTTTACCAGTTTCTTTCAGCTGTTTTCATTTAATTTTTTTTAGACGTTGCTATCAATATCATATTCTGTAAATTTGTAATGTACCAATATAGTCTCGAGAAGGTGAGAACAGAGTTGCAACAAGGCATGAGAAAATCTGGGATGGGGTTGTCGCTGCAGTCTAAAGCAACCCATAGATATACACACATATATATTCTTTTGGTTATATTCGGTTCTGTTATGTATCAAAGTCTGCTCTGTAATACAAAGTGCGATTGAACAAAGATCGGAGTAATATATTCATATTGAAATGGTCATTCAATTAGGAGCAGAGCTTGGTAATTACTGGTTTGATTCCAGTCTTGTTCATGTCATTTAATAAGCATTTTGGAGCTAACTTTAAGGTATGCTTTTTGGCATTTGTTCTACTTATAAGTTACTTTTAACATGTTTCATATTGACTAAGAAGAATTTTAAACTTTATTAATTCTTATTTAAAATTTAACAACTTTTTAATTTTATTTTTATTTAATATATGCTATACTTTGTGTAAACAAAATCAACATAATAATAAATAAAGAGTAAAATTATACATCTATACAAAAAAAAAAAATTTAGTACTTTATAAATAAGATAAAAAAAATGTCTTCTTTTTGTCCTATAAATAGGACTAGAGGAATATATAAAATAAGTATATAAGAGAAGTTTTGTCTGGTTGTGGCTTGTATTGAGCAACCTAATATAAGTACTTATATGCGAGTGAACATATACCCCAAAGAAAAAAAAATTCTTACAATTATCTCATATTTTGTAAATCATGATTAAAAAACTGTTTTTGAAGGTCCTACAGTCAGTACAAACAAGCATTAATATAGTGTTTCTGATAATCTGCTATAAATCTTCATCAACGTGTGTTGCTCATTTTTAATCTCTATTAACTGATCCTCTTCCACAGTAGGATTTTCAAACCATCATCAGCGCCAGGGTCCGACGAGTTTCTCTAGCCGCCGGGTTAAGGCTTTGTTTGGCCCATACTATGCCTGGCCGTCTCTGCGTTTCGCAGAAATGTCGGTGTGAATCGATAACGTGAAATTGTTGTTGCTTTGACGTCTGGATGGAGTTATTGTTGATTTATTTGGTTATTTTTATTGGATTGGATTCCATGTATAATTTTTCCAACGAATTGTCAGGACCAGTTTGATAGGAAGAATTGGTTTGAATGGAAAGAAATAGAATGAAACATAGTGAAAATTTTGGTGAGTACTGGAATGAAAAACAGGTTGATAAAAACTTTTATGTTTGGTTGGATAAAAAATTATTAGAAAATTCTGCAATTTTACCATGTTATTCTTGATGAAAGAATATAATATTATTAAATAAAAATACTTTTTAACCTTTAATAATATTATTAAAAATTCAATAATTTAAAAAATAAAGTAATAAAATATTATAACTTAAATAAATATAAATATTTAATAGATTTTTATAAAATACTATACATATTAATTTTTAAAATATAAATAATAAATAATATAAATAATGATGCGAAGGTAACGTCTGTTAAGATATCAAATGAAATCTATTTTATTTTCACACTTATGACCTTATATAACAACAGTAATTTACAATAACAAAAATAAAATAAATAACTAAATTAAATAATAATGTCCAGAAAATCTTTAAACGGATTATTCGAGTATTACGACTTTAATTGAGGTGAGTTTATCGGAGATTTCTCCTATATTTTCCTGCTGTAACTTTGCCTTTCAAATGTTTGCAGCTTTAAATGCCTCCAAATATTTGTTTTTAGTAATTATATTTCTTGTTGCCACTATCAATTCGTATTTTCACTTGCTACTCAAATCTTCAAGAGCAAAAGATTTTGTTGAAGCTGATAATAATTTCCAAGCCATGTGGTGGACTAAATTTAAATAAGACTTTGTTTTTACGGTACCAAATCCGAATTTGGATCTCCAAATTGGCAGTTTGGATTTCTAAATATGACCGAGTACGTTGGATTTCCAAATTCGAATTTGAAACTCTAAATTTGAATTTGGTTTTTGCTTTAACTATAATTGAGTATTTAAATTTGAAATTGCTTGAGTTAAACTCATTCTTCTCATGTAAGAACCATCTCATATTCGCATCAGGTGATAAACTTTTTTTGCTTAGGATCAAAAAAATCGATCCACGAACATTGTCTGATATGAATGAAAGCATTGTACTCTCATCTCATCCCATTCTTGTTTACCACTCTCTTCATTATTATAAGTCACTTATATTCCAAACCCCGCAAACCAAGAAATATATTAAATTAACCAGTTTTTTTTTTTATATTTACTCTTATTAAAAGTTGAGAGAGAGAGGAGGAGGGGATAGATTGCATAAGAAATGAAAAGTTGAGAGAGAGATGGAGAGAGAGATTAATTAATTTTTTATTAAATTAATAGGGGTAAAATTGAAAAAAGATTATCAATTTTATTACAAGTGACTTATATTTTGAAACAAACTTTTAAAGTACAAGTGACTTATAATAAGGAACAGAGTGGTATTTTATTAAACTTTGTTTGTCTATGGTATTTAAGTACTCCTCCGGTCCTTAATATAGGACCCAGTTGTTGAGTTAGTTTTAGTTCTAAATATATGACTCATTTCTCATATTTATCAATTTTCTTTAAATTATCCTTATGGATACTCCCTCAACCATAATCAAGTAGAAGAGAGAAGGGGTATTAAAAGAGATGATTATGGTGTTTTAGGAAAAACATATCACATTTCTTATAATTAACTAACTTACCTAACTTTCTTAATCTAATCAAATTAGTTAAATGGGTCTTATATTAAGAATCAGAACAGTATTAAGCATAGCATATATAATTTAAAGAGACATCCTTCCCCTCCCCACACACACATATATATACTTGGGCTGGTAGTAAGATAGTCTCCATTATTTTTGTATCTTTAGTTTCTTCTTTTTAATTCTAGTTTCATTGAATTTGTTTGTTTGTTTTAATTTTTTTAGGTCACACCTTAAACAAAAGCATTCATACTCATATGGATCTTCAACCTTCAGATTGTCTCATAAAAAAAGTATTTTATAGCATCAACTCTCCTACTTTCATCTCAATTATAGGGAGCTTCTTCACTCCCTCAATACCATAGGCTTGAGGAAAAAAACCATAGGCCTGAATGAGAAGAAGAACCAGGAGCAAAGTCATTTTTGAAATTTTCTCATTACGTCGGAAAATCGGCTCCTACCATCTTTTTGGGGAAAAAGACAGAAAAATGCGCCTTTAACTTCAGAAACCCAAAAACGTCCGCTGAATTCAAGAAATCCCATTTTGGTACCATGAGACCAAATTGGGATTATTATGTGAAAGGAAAAGACTGAATTGCCCTTCATTTTAAATATTATTTTTAAAATATCACAGCCCTTATTGGCCGGCCGGTCACCGGACCTCCGGCGGCGACTGTCACCGGAGCTCCGTCGGTCGGGATTTTTTTTTTTGAAAATTTTTACAACTTCAATATAACGGGTAACAACTTTTATAATGCGATTAACAACTTTAGTATAGCAATTAACAACAACTTTTCTGGAAAATTCAACAAACTTCAGCGACCGGAAACAATTTTTTTGAAAATTTTTACAACTTCAATATAACGGTTAACAACTTTTGTAATGCGATTAACAACTTTAGTATAGCAATTAACAACAGCTTTTCTGGGAAATTCAACAAACTCCGGCGACCGGAAACAATTTTTTTAAAAATTTTTACAACTTCAATATAACGGTTAACAACTTTTGTAATGCTATTAACAACTTCAGTATAGCAATTAACAACAGCTTTTCTAGGAAATTCAACAAACTCCGGCGACCGGAAACAATTTTTTTTAAAATTTTTACAAATTCAATATAACGGTTAACAACTTTTGTAACCCTATTAACAACTTCAGTATAGTGATTAACAACAGGTTTTTGAGTTTGTTAAAGGCATTACTGAAGTTATAAAAAAGTCACCTTTTGAATTTTTCGAAAAACTTGTTGTTAACTGTTATATCAAAATTGTTAACCGTTATATTGGAGTTGTAAAAATTTTCAAAAAAACGTAATTGTTAACGTTATACTGAAGTTGAAAATTTTTACAACTTCAATATAACTGTTAACAACTTTTATAATGCCATTAACAACTTCAATATAGCAATTAACAACAGGTTTTCTGGGAAATTCAACAAACTCCGGTGACCGGAAACAATTTTTTTGAAAATTTTTACAACTTCAATATAACGGTTAACAACTTTTGTAACCCTAGTAACAACTTCAGTATAGCGGTTAACAACAGGCTTTTGAGTTTGTTAAAGGCATTACTGAAGTTATAAAAATACCACTTTTTGAATTTAAAAACTTATTGTTAACCGTTATATTGGAGTTGTAAAAATTTTTAAAAAAAAGTAATTGTTAATGTTATACTGAAGTTGAAAATTTTTACAACTTCAGTATAACGGTTAACAACTTTTATAATTCTGTTAACAACTTCAATATAGCAATTAACAACAAATTTTCTGGGAAATTCAACAAGCTCCGGTGACTGGAAATAATTTTTGTTTGAAAATTTTTACAACTTCAGTATAACGGTTAACAACTTTTGTAACGCTATTAACAACTTTAATATATCAGTTAATAACAGATTTTTTTGAAAAATTATATAACTCAAAAACTTGTTGTTAACCGCTATACTGAAGTTGTTAATAGGGTTACAAAAGTTGTTAACCGTTATATTGAAGTTGTAAAAATTTTCAAAAAAATTGTTTCCGGTCGCCGGAGTTTGTTGAATTTCCCAGAAAACCTGTTGTTAATTGCTATATTGAAGTTGTTAATGGCGTTATAAAAGTTGTTAACCGTTATATTGAAGTTGTAAAAATTTTCAACTTCAGTATAACGTTAACAATTACGTTTTTTTTAAAAATTTTTACAACTCCAATATAACGGTTAACAACTTTGATATAGCAGTTAACAACAAGTTTTTCGAAAAATTCAAAAGGTGGCTTTTTTATAACTTTAGTAATGCCTTTAACAAACTCAAAAACCTGTTGTTAACCGCTATACTGAAGTTGTTAATAGGATTACAAAAGTTGTTAACCGTTATATTGAAGTTGTAAAAATTTTCAAAAAAAATTGTTTCCGGTCGCCGGAGTTTGTTGAATTTCCCAAAAAAGCTGTTGTTAATTGCTATACTGAAGTTGTTAATAGCATTACAAAAGTTGTTAACTGTTATATTGAAGTTGTAAAAATTTTCAAAAAAATTGTTTCCGATCACCGGAGTTTGTTGAATTTCCCAGAAAAGCTATTGTTAATTGCTATATTGAAGTTGTTAATAGCATTACAAAAGTTGTTAACCGTTATATTGAAGTTGTAAAAATTTTCAAAAAAATTGTTTCCGGTCGCCGGAGTTTGTTAAATTTCCCAGAAAAGCTGTTGTTAATTGCTATACTGAAGTTGTTAATCGCATTACAAAAGTTGTTAACCGTTATATTGAAGTTGTAAAAAAAAATTTTAAAAAAAATTCCGACTGACGGAGCTCCGGTGACCAATTGTCGGCTGGTCGCCGGAGCTTCGGTGACCGCCACCGTCGGAGGTTAGGTGATCGGCCGGCCAATAGGGGCTGTGATATTTTAAAAATAATATTTAAAATGAAGGGAAATTTGGTCTTTGCCTTTCACATAATAATCCCAATTTGGTCTCATGGTACCAAAATGGGATTTCTTGAATTCAGCGGACGTTTTTGGGCTTCTAAAGTTAAAGGTACATTTTTCTGTCTTTTTCCCATCTTTTTGTGTATAAATGAACAAATGGCCTAAACAATGTTAATTATGTAGACTTGTTGTAGGTATCATGGATAAGCCAGCACTTAATTATACATGGTAACAAAAACACGTTCTAAGAGAGTTTTATACACATGATTGGTTGATTCAGATTTGCAATTGTGGCCCAGCCGAACGTGGCTTTCAAAAATTAAGTAATATCACTAAGGGAAAATTACACTCAGGTTCCACAGAGCACATTTAATATTAAAAAGGTCCCTCAAAATCGCGAAATGATTCTGAAGTCCCCAGGGACCTGTGTGTAATTAATTCTAATTGTGAAATTACCTACTTACCCCTGTTAATTTTATTGCAGCAATTCGTTTACAATCTCAACAGTGGCTGTTAACAATCTGAGAAGACGTGATTGACAACCTCGGCAGTGTTTACGACAACTCACTCAGTGGAATGCCAGGGGCGTTGTTGAGGTTGTTAACCACCTCTTCTCGGATTGTTAACAGCCACTGTTGAGGTGTAAATAGGTTTTAAATAGGTTTAATTGCAACAATTCGTTTACAATCTCAACAGTGGCTGTTAACAACCCGAGAAGACGTGATTGACAACCTCGGCAGTGCTCATGACAACTCACTCAGTGGAATGCCAGGGGCGTTGTTGAGGTTGTTAACCACCTCTTCTCGGGTTGTTAACAGCCACTGTTAAGGTTGTAAATAGGTTCAAATTAACAGGAGTAACTATGTAATTTCACAATTAGAATTAATTACACACAAGTCCCTGGGGACTTCAGAATCATTTCGCAATTTCAAGGGACCTTTTTGATATTAATTATGCTATGTGGAACCTGAGTGTAATTTTCACTATCACTAAATGAAGAAACTTGCAAGAAAAGAAACCTAAGGGTCCTTGCCCAACCGAAAGCATTTTGCGCTGTTACTTCCACTCTGAGGTTACGTATTTCATCAGCTAACCTTTGATTCGGCGTTCGGCTTTTTCAATTTTTATTTTGTTTTGTTATAGGCAAACAGTTTTTTTTATTGGAGATATTTTTATTCGAGGCAACCATAAATACGAATTTATCTTTTATATAAGAATTTGAATTCTGGTTTGTCTTTTTTTTAATTTTGTTATGAAATAGTAAACCATCTAGTTTTTTCCCTTTTTGAATGAAAGGGTATGTCTGTGTATCACCCTTCTAAATCATATGATCAGTTCCTTATTATTCCTTCTAGTCCTATATATAACCTCCTTTCATGTAAGGTCAGACTACTAATACTTTTTTTTCTTTACTATGTCAAGTTTTTTTTTTATTAGATTTGTTTGAGATATTATTAAATGCTAAATATATTTTTTTTAATATTATAAGAGACTAGTTTTTTTAATTAAACTCAATCATTGTTGGTCATGCTACCAACACTTGGATTCAATTGAATTAGAATATTATACAGTGGCTTTCTAATTTCACTCGGAATTCGGAAAACAAAACAGAGGCCAACCCATAAGTAACGACGTCGCATGCACTTGTACTATTTTTGCAGTCATACACAGTAAGAGAGGGGAGAAACGAAAGACCCGACCCGACCCGACCCAAGTGAACCGTGTTTGAAACAATTGATTTAAACAGGAAAAAGAACAAATCAAAAGAACACAAACAAACACCATAGAAGAATGAAAAACCCACCCAGCAGATTCATCCCATATAACTGGATGTTTGCATTTAACAAAAAAAACGGAGAAAGAAAAGGAAACGAAAGATCTATCCCGTATAGATGTGAACTCCAATGGCTATGAGGAAGATGGTTATGAGGCCGAAGAAGAGAATTGCGTGAACTAAAATGGAGACGCCACTGGTGTGCATGCTCCCAAACTCCACAATTCTTCCTCTTCCTGGTAACTGAAACAGAAGCCCTGGACTTAGCAGTACGAACAGAACCACTGCTATCACCACTGGTCCCCAATCCGCCATTAATGTCACCTTTTAAGCTCTCTCTCTCTCTTCTTTCTCTCTCTATCTCTTTTGTCAATGAACGAATTATATCAGAGCCAGTAGTGGTTGTGAGCTATATAGGAGATTAAAGTTACGTCTCTGTGTTTGAAACTTGGAAGGAAGGAATGAGATGCATGAGATCAGCATCCACTAAATAAAGAGACAGATCAATGCGAGGGATGATGAATATTAGTTGTTTGTTTGTTTGGTTTATGGTTTGCTTTGTTGGAAAGAAATTGTGAGAGTGGAGGTCGTAATCAGATGCTAGCTTCAATAGGAACGTGCCAAAAGGAAAGAAATGATACGACTTGTTGGATTATGCAGAATCAAGCAATTGAAAATTTGAAAGGGCATTTTGAAAAAATCTCTCTTTGAAGGTTAAGAATCTGCAGATCACGTTTGTGAGAGAATTGGATTCCACAGCTAATAGGCATGCAATGGCCTAGCTGGTGAATAATGTGTCTGTCACTCCTAAAAGATAAATTCCTTATGTTTTTTCTTCACTTCTTTGACTTGCAATTTTTCCCCTTTGAGTTCTTTTAACCTTTTTTTCTGGATGGGAAAGAAAATTCACATACCCTCTACTACAAAAGACTCGAATCAACGAATCGGAAGGACCAAACAGTCACTGGACGCAATAACGGCTCAATTTGTACCAAAAAATTATTTTCATGGTTGAGCCGGCTTAGGCCAGACCAAAACACAATTAAACTGGGAATCGGAACGGATTTAAAAATTTGGACAGCCTTTTAGATATCACTGTAAATGCTAAAAGAATTAATAAAAACCTTAATTTTTTTGAAAAAAAATTAACCCTCCCAAAAAGTCCAATATATTTTCAGTCAAGTTATAGTCATATGGTTATTTTATTGAAAAATTCACGTATTGTGATGTTATGATGCCGACAGTTAGATATACTGTGAATCTATTTCTAATGTATATTATTATATAATGCACATAATTATTTTATTACTTATTGGATTATGAGAACCATAAATCATTAGTCTTTTCATTTTAATGTGGAGTCCAACTTTTTAAAACATTCAATGAAACGCATAGCCTCACCCATTGGGAAGTGCATCTTATGCCACTAAACCATGAAGTCTTTGGCTAACTTCTTTTTAACCATTTGGTTTCTAGTTGCTGCTTGTGTGTGAGCAGCTCGTATTAATTTTGTATTTTATAACAATACCCATGTTGTAATTTAATGAATCATGATCGTTAATATGGGATTTTTTGTAAAAAATAATGAAACACTACGATTTCTGTCTAAAAACTATCATTTATTATTATCCATCTCATCTTATTTAAATATATTAATTTTAAACATTATGATTTTTTATATCTAACTAAATTTAATTATTTTTTAATAAGAAAGCGCTAAATTGTATATCAAGAACCTTTTGATTTATTGGCACCAAGAGGAGGGGTGAGTGGGTGTGTGATTAGAGTCGAGAATGTGGGTTGGACCCTCGGGTCGGACCCGCCAACCCATCGAAAAATGGTGGGTTAGGCCAACCCGCCACCACCTGAAAAATATGAGCCCACGCTGTCACAGGCCGAACCTGCCGCGGGTTGGCGGATTCAACCCGCCTAATTTTTTTTAATATATTAAAATATCTAGAGGAGGTGGATTGGAATTCTGGAAAGGCAAGAAAACTGAAGTCCTACTGGCTACTATTGTCAAAATCAACATTGAGCCAACTTCAAATGTCATCACCATTAGAGATGATTAGATCAAAATGGTTATTCATTGTTGCATGTTGATTTTACTGGAAAAATTTATGTTTGAACTTGTGTTTTTATCATTTTTGAAGTTTAGACTTTAGACAATCGTATAGTTTGTGTTTTAATGTGTTGTAATTTTATTTAAATGCTTGGAATTATTTAAATCATTTTTTATTTTTTTATTTTTTGATTATTTATAAGAAAAATTAAAAAAAAACTGGTGGGTTAGGGTTGGCAAAATACCAGACCGCCAGAAAATGAGCATTTTGAGCCTGACCCGTATAACTAGCAACCCGCCACGGGCCAACCTGCAACTCGCGGGTTGGCCCGTTTTACTAGCCTTATGTGTGATGTATGTAGATAAAAGAAAAAATATTATTATACAAGGATGTCTTCGCTTTCTTTCCTTCCATTTTTTTTCTCAGTTTTTATTTCAATCATAAGATTACAATTGAATGGTTTAAATTTCATATTTTATAAAAATTATGAATAAAATGTTAAATTTTCCCAAAAAAAACAAATAAAATTAAACTACTGAATTTTACCATGGTAATTTGAAACAATAATAAAAATACTTTATTAAATTATTTTATATAATACAAAATTTAAACCTTTCAAATTGCAAATTGAGAATTGAGATAAAAAGCGGACCAAAACAAAATGGATAGGTACGGAGCTCCTTTCCCAATAGTAGCTAGGGCTGCTTATTGTTATTTAATAAGGAATAAAAAATCAGACCAGATACTAAATGGGTTGAGGTAGTGATTCAAGGGTTAGTACGTCAAATGGGGTCAACTCATGTCAAACTAGTCATATTAAAATAATATAATTTAATTGAAAATAACAAAATACCACAACAATAATCACAAATAACAAAATACAAGGAAATACAACAATAGTTTAATTGTAACAATAATAAAGTACAATAATATTAAGAATTTTGATCTTTACGATTTCTCAATAACTAAAATTAATGATTATTGATACCAAAATTATGATTAAGATATTGAGAGCTAAATAAGAAAAAATCGGACAAATAGCAACATAATCATTCAAATTGGTTCATCCTAATTTGACCGGGTTGATACTGTTTCAATTCCTGGCCGGTCCGACGCTTAAACTAGACTGGATCACTGACTGGCTTTCCAATTGAATTAGTCAATTCGGTCTGGTTTTTTTTTTCCTTGCTATCTAATCAAAATTTATAATATTTAATTTTAAATTAATTGTAACATCAAATTAAAAGAAAACGGTACTTGGATACAAATCTTGGATTTTTAACGTCTTCCTTTTCTCATTAATAATAATGAAGTGTTATGTTTTCAACCACAGTTTTCTTTCTGCCTTTATAGTTCTCTCAAAAAAAAAAACGAGATACAAAAAGGAAATCTGATTTAAGTAATTTGAATTAAAATTAGATAAATAAGTAATAAAATGATTGATAAGAAGCACAACACCTTTTAAATCAAATTTGAAGTTCGAGTCCTTTTGAATTAAAAAAAAATAAAAAAAATTCCTCGTCCGTAGAACTTCTTCTTTTGGCATTGGATTAGAACTAAATCCCAATCAAACAGAATTACTTCTAATGGGAAGATGCATGTGCTTATAAAGAAAAAAAATTACATCTCAATTAGTTAATTGTATCAGATATGGTTGTTGATATGTTTGGAAAGAAAAAATCACTTCTAAAATTGTTTTATTGTAGAGAGACACGGCTCAGACCAAAATACCAAAAATGATACAACCCCAGGCTGGATCAACGCATTCGGC